TAACAAAATTAGCAAGAGGGTATAGAGGTGTTTTGGTACATTGACGTACACCCTTGCGTAAAGCAATTGGCGGAGATGGTGGTGGAGAAGAAGAGACATTACCTGGGTCAGCCAATTGGTCATGCGTCAACAATGGAGTGAACCTATTTTTCCTTGAGTACAATTTTGTCACTAGTAGAGGAGAAGATGGGTCATGAGTGGTGGATTTAGTAGGTGTAGGAATGGGATGGTCTGGTGGTGTATTTGATTGAGGTTCAGGTGATGTTGAAGACTATTGGGAAGTAGGTGAGGTTGCTGACACGTCTAAGGAAGGTGATGGATGATCATGTGGTGGTGGTGGTGGTGATGGGATGTCTGGTGATAAAGGCTTAGGAGGGTAGGAGATTGTATGTGGTGGAGAAGATGTAATAGTATAGGTGGGCAGAGGTGAAGGATGTGGAGTATCTTGGGATACATGGAGAGAAGTAGAAGTGTAAAAAGGTGTGTCTTCGTGAAAGGTCACATCTGCACTGGTGTATGTCTTTCTGGTTGTAGGATTATAGCACTTATATCCTTTCTGAGTTGGAGAATAACCAAGAAAGATACACTTAATAGATCGTGGGTCCAATTTTCCCCTATGAGGTGGAGGAATATGAACAAATGCAGTACACCCAAACACCCTTAGATCAAGATCAGAAGAAATTCTGGTTTGAGGAAAGGAGTGACGGAGAGATTCAAGGGGTGACTTATTTTGGAGTACCCGACTGGGAATTTTTTTTTTTTTTTTTTGGATGAATGACTGGGAATTTTATTGATGAGATGACATGCTGTGAGTGTGGCTTCCCCCCAATAGTGTTTAGACATATTTGATTGAAACAATAAAGCTCGACTGACTTCTAGGAGATGGCGATTTTTTCTTTCTGCTGTGCCATTCTGTTGTGGTGTGTACGGACAAGAGGACTCATGAACAATGCCTTTTGAGAGGAAATAAGAGGAAACAGTTTGATTGAAGTATTCAAGAGCATTATCAGTGCGGAAGCGTTTTATTGTGGCGGAGAACTGATTATGAATCATATTGCAAAAGATAGGAATGATGGAACTCACCTCACTCTTGTTTTTTAGCAGAAAAACCCACATAAAACGTGTACAATCATCAATAAATGTAACATACCACCGGGCACCAGATATATTAGCAATTGGAGCAGGACCCCAGACATCACTATGTATAATATCAAAAGGAGAACAACTGATTGTATTACTTCTAGAAAAAAGATACACGAGACTGTTTAGCAAGTTCACAGACATCACATTGAAATGTAGAAACATCAATACTACTAAAAAGACTAGGAAGCATGGTTTTTAGGACATGAAAAGAGGGATGACCAAGGCACTTGTGGTGAAGCCAAATAGTGTTGGTATTGGCTGTGATTGTGGTAAGAGCTTTTTGTGGAGGTTTGGAGACAAACAGTGCATCAAGGTAGTACAGGCCATCTCTTTGTTTAGCAATTCCAATCGTCCTCCCCGTGTGTAGGTCCTGTAATAAACAGTGGGAAGGGAGAAAAATGGCAGCACAATTAAGATCAACTGTGAGTTTGTAAATAGAAGCAAGGTTCATAGCCAGGTTTGGGACATGTAGGGTGTTTTTCAGATTTAATTTTTCAGAAAAAACAACCGAACCAAGTCCCGCAACCTTTGTAGGTGTCCCATCAGCAGTAGTAATGTGTGTGGATGTAAAACATGGATGATAATTAGAGAGTAAAGAGGGTATGGCAGTCATATGAGATGTGGCACCTGAGTCTAATATCCATTGGGATTGTGAACTCTGTTCCGAAGCATTAAGACAAAAAATAGTAGAGGTTTTACCTTGCAGGGCCAAAGAGCTATGACCAGAACCTTTTGAGTTATTAAGAGACTGTAACATCATACAAAGTTGCTTTAATTCCTCCTGGGAAATGGGCCAAAGATTAGTAGAGCACTCAACAATAGTGGGAGTGACTGAGTTGGCACGTCCATTGGGATTGTGAACTCTGTCCTGGCTTTTTCTTTCTTTCTGTAGATGAGGATAAAGTTTCCAGCATGTATCCACATTATGGTTGGACCGCTTGCAATGATCACACCATCTTCCTCCCTTACTACCCTTAGTTTCCTTAACATCTGAAGGAGTAGATTTGGCAGCAAGAGTTGTACTGTCAATCAGATTTGTATTCATCATTATATTGCGTCTGCTCTCTTCATGTTTGATAGTGGCAATGGCAGAAGATATGGAAGGCAGAGGAGTAATGCCAAGAATTTGACCCCGAGTCTGATCATATTCGGGATTTAAACCAGACAAGAAGCAATATAGACGTTGCTGATTTATATAGTTCTTGTGAAGAGCTGCATCTGCAGCATTCGACCACTTCATCGTTTGATACTGGTCAAGTTCAGACCATCGTCGTTGGAGGTCAGTTGCATAATCTGTGACAGATTGTGAATCTTGCTTAAGATTCGTTGTTTTGAGCCATAAGTCATAGACAAAAGCGCCATCTTTAGCAACAGAGTAGGACTGCTGTATGAAATCCCAGATTTCTTTAGCCGAGTCCATGTATAAACATGTACTGCTAATGTTGGGATCCATAGAGTCCCATAACCAGACCCGTATGTTGGCATTAGTTTTCTCCCAAATAGCAGCATCAATCTCTCCTTCTTCTGAGGTAGAGACAGTGAGATAGTCTTCAAGATTTTTGCCACGTAGGAGAGTGTAAACCAGCTTTGACCACCCAAGATAGTTCCTGCCATTGAGACGGTAAGATGGCGGGATAGAAGGGAGATCAAATTTCTGGTTTCGAAGAGCAAACGCGGCTGCAGTAGCAGCTGAAACAATGGTTGAGTGATCAAGGTTACTTGAGGCTGATTCGGCTTCTTTAGACATGATAAAACCCTTGATGAAGAGACTCCACCAGGAGTTAAAGAGAGAGAAGGGTAGAGACACCCAAAAAATGACCGTTGGAGAGGTGATAGACTCAAAAAAGGCTTAGATGAAACCAAGCTCTGATACCATGAAGTTTTCTTAATATTATTTCCTTTTAATACATTTACAAGAAGTACATAAGCTATTTATACAGATAGGAATCCTGAGAGAGTCTATTCAGCACCCTAGGTGACTGTCTAAATACTAAACATAAATGATTGAGAACTGAAAAGACAGCAGCTATTAAATACAACCTGAAGCACTAAAGACACATAATTACAGTAATAATAAGGAAAATAAATCCTAGATTAATGATGTCTCTTCGTTTTATCAACAAAAACATACTAGGAAACAAAATAAATTAGAAAACAAAATAAATTAGGAAACAAAATTTTCATTTCATTTTCATTTACCCCAGTGCCGCAAAGGCTCCCACCTACGGTGGGGTAAGGGGGGTCAGATGTACGCAGTCTTACCCCTGTACTAAAGCACAGAGAGACTGTTTCCGGAAGACCCATAGTGAAAATCGTGTCCAAAATTGCATGGACTGACTGCTGCTCCATAACAAAGAAGCGCAGACAGTTTAGTGAGCCATTTTGCGTTATTCCATCATAATCTCAAGCCAAAATTAGGAAACAAAATAAAAGGAATAATTAAAATTAATTAAATGGCCCGCAGACAGCCCACGAAGGTGGGCTCAAGCCCGTCCTCGTCCCCTGCTCTCTATCAATTTACAAAAAAAACTAAGTTTAATTTCTTAACATCTCCAATTTTCTCTCCTCCCAATTTCTTTCTCTTGTACTTCACCCATGCCAAACAAACTAGTAATGTTTTTCAAAGATTAGCCATTAGTGGAAAAGGAAAAGGACGATTTTGGTGGATGACCTTTGGATTTTTTCTATTGATTCATATACAGCTGATTCAACATGCACTTCACTTATGATCTGAAATAGAGAAATTGTGAACCAAACTATGCAGTACTCCCAGGTACCAGAGGGGCTACTGAAAAAAAGACAATTGTTTCTATATTCAGAGAGGTACGGGGATTAGTTGGGAAGCTAAATTACTTGGTAGTTGGTAGTAACTCATGCAGATATTGCATAACCAATTAGTGCTAGGAACCAGTCATGGCATTCTCAATGGTTGATAATTGGGCTGCTACAGACCTATAGAGCACATTTTGGGTTACTTGAAAGTCTTGAAGGAAACTCGTGGGCGTGGAATTCTGTATGAGAATCATGTGCGTACTCAGATCAATTGCTTTATAGATGCTGATTGGGCAGGTTCTGAGGAGATATGAGATCAACGGCAGGATATTGTGTCTTTTTTAAAGCCAGCTGGTTTTGTGGAAAAGTAATAGCAGTTCTGTTTCTCATTCGAGTCCATAGTCAGGATATATAGATATGGCCTAACTGGAATGTGATGTAATATGGATATGTAATCTTCTAAGCAATGCACTTTGTCTGTAAAAAGATATGGGGATTGGTTTCTACTGGGTTTGTGAGAATTGGAGAACAATTTATCAATCTGAAAACCATATTATTGAGTGAATTATATATGTATATAGTTGGGCATAATTAACATCTATGGTCCATCTCTACAGTGGATTATGAATAATACACAGAGAAACAATAAAACATTTTCCATGAAATTAGGAATTAGTCTTTATCTAGTTACCTTATTTAAGATTCTCTCATGTGTCTATAGGACCTCTGCTTACATTGTCAAATACATAAAATACCTTTTCAAATTCCACTGTTCACACTTTTAAGTCCAAGATGTCGTTAAATATGGGTAGATGAAAATAATAAAATATTCATTAGGATTTGAGCCCTTGACCTAATGTCAAGTTGGCAACAGGAGCTCTTAGATAAGAATTTCATAGGATTCGAGTTATTGCCCTAATGTCAACAGGAGTTCAATGCCAATGTAGTCTAAAACTCATTAATCCTATCCAATCCACAATTTTCACATTTGAAAAATGCTTGTCCATGAATTCAATATACATACCCAAACCAGATATTGTAGATAGCAAGAGTTATACCAATCAATATATGAGAAAGTCTCTAACCTACAATTCTTCCTCGAAGAACTACTGCTGCATGCTGATTGAGCTCTTGTCCAAAAGATCTTTTATATGGATCAGGTTGAAAGTGTTCAGTCTCCTTTGTATCATTACATGGGAGCCCACGATCCTATAATCAGAAACAACTTGCCTTGAATTAAATGCAAAGGTGAAAAACGAACTATATAAAAAGGTTGAACACAGATGTAAGTGGTGACAGCAGGATCTTGTGAGGAACCTTATAACGTTACTTAAGAAGGAATGTTTGCAATGTTTGATACTTTGAGGTTGAACCCAGTACCAAAGGCCATCTGGAGCACTTGGTCACTCACACTAAGCTCATGTTCTAGTATATTACTCCGTAACTAATTATTATTGAAAGATCAACATGTAGTGTAAAAACAGTGTCATTTACTCATTTATTGAAGATTGTACACGATTAAATTGTAGAGCAAAGTTTCATTTGCATACTGGGAGATGTATGTAATCATCGCCTTCATCTGCTTCCATGTCCAGCGTTGGATCCACCCGTTTAATCTGAAAGAATACAAATTATGGAAATATTGACAAAAATTTACAACACAATAAAAGGTTGTGGAAATATGTGTATGCTCGCACCATATTATCATTTTGCAGCATAGATTAGATATTTCACTATAAAAGAGGTTGGCTGGAAAACATGGAAATCAATATCATCTGGGAAGCACCTTTTTCCTAGCTTCACTTGCCAAAATTTCATCTTGTTTCAGAAAAACAGCAAGCTCCTCATCCTCAGCTGCCACAGCTGCTGCTGCTGCAAAAGCATTTTTCATGCCATGGAGATATTCAGCCCTTGAATATTTTGTCCAGAATTCCCTCTCTGTCATCTAGAATGCGTGAAAAGAGAAAATATGTCATCAATATAATACAAATGAAATCACCACAAAGTTCCAGTGACAGAATTGCTACAGTGCTGAAACCAGCGATACACTTATCTCTGCTTACCTTCTTTGGAACAAAATTAAGATATGCCTGACGAACAGCTGGTTTCTCAGCGAAAATCTGAATGTACATTAAAAAAGTCAGTATGAGTGTATGACATGTACCAAAACTACACTTGTATAAAAAAACATTTTCACAAGTATTTACTCTATTTAGACCCTTTTGCAAGTCGCTTTTCTTTAAAAAAAGTGAGACCCACCAGTAAGTTTTATGCACAACAACTTGCAAGGATTGAAAAAGGTTTCTCAGTAAGATGATTGAAAACATTTCAATTGGCAAAATTTCAATCTGAGAGGAAGTATTGACACATCAAAATCAGGGACATCAATCCATTTCATTTTTATACATGATAGAAGCTAGCAACTACAAACCAACATCAAATAAAAAACTAAGAATATCAAGAATTGAAATATGCATTTCAATTAATCTGGCGAGTAATGCATTCTCTGTACATCAAAGTTAATGACAATATTCAAATTTAACTTTAGCAGGTGACACATGCTAGTAGTCAGAGATGGATTTGGGGGCCCTCCTTGGACATTCCATTGTACATATATAAACTACACACTATATTAGATATACAAATGTTTGACACCATTAATTTATATTTGTATGTATTTAAAATTAATTTTATTAACTCAAATTTAAATTTTACTTGACATGAGTAGTGATTTTTTAAGGAAAATAACTAAATTAGGTTAGTTTACTTTTCTGTCTCACTCATGAGCACAAAATGATTAAATTATTGGCTCCAAAGAAAAGTAATTGAAAAATTCATTGGTTATGATGCCCAACTTATAAAAGTAGAGTGAGTTCTTTTTTGTAGAGTCTATGCTTAGTGGAAAATATCAAGCAACATGACAACAACCAGGCCTTATTCCCAAAAGATTTTGGGGTCGCGTAACATGAATTGATCCATGATCTCAAGCAATGTTCAAAAAAATTTACGCAAAATTGTTATAACATGATAAATTTTTTAGACAAAAAAAAATGTAACTGCCTCATTCTCGTTGGACAAAATTTATTATATAACAGAAACACCATACTATATAAGTCTTGCTTAAAGCGTCATACAATGTCATGTTCAGAAAAGTAAAGGACGCAGTAATACCTGAAGAATGATCTCCGGTGTCAAGTTAAAAGTAATCTTGTTAGGCTGAATTAAAAAAAAAATGGGTCACAGTATGTCAAAGAATTTGATAGTATAGACAAAAAGGGTAAAGATAACAAGCTTCCAGCCAAAAGTAATACACCATTTGGTCATGCATTAATAGTATATGAAAGAAGAAAGCGAGCAGCGCAGCAAACTTTAATAAAAAGTAAAAACACATGATAACTTATCAGCATATATATGTATTGGCAAACAGAAAAGAAGAAATCCACAAGCTGAAAGATATAAAAACATTGCACAGTGCACGGAGGGAAACAGAAAATAAATTCTTTTAAGGTTGGAAAAAGAAAGAGTGAGGGATGCAGTTGTACCTGACCATCAATGGTAGGTTTTTTATGCCAAATATGATTTTTCAAAGCTACATGTTGCTTTGGCCTCTTAGCATCACCCTGATTTAGTAATTTCTGCACTCAGTGAGAATAATTTCTCTGTTAGAACATATTATGGCAGACAGGCTGTTCTATAGATGGCTCAAAACTATAAAAGACGCAATAATATAGAGTAAGATGATATTTGGTGGGAAGAGAAAAAAATCATCCAGTTCCTTACCTTCCTTGCTGCCCAAAATTCACCCTCTGACAAAATGCCCCCCATAACTAATTGCTTGTGAAGTTTCCTCAATTCACTGCCACTTAAACTTGTTACTGAGTGAAATAAATAATATATATCAGACAAAAACTCACACATCAAGTGATATGACACCAATATGCTGGATTTTTGACTCAATACTCACGCAAGAAGAAATGAAAATCTTACAAATAGTAGATGTCAAACAATCACACAGCCGCCACCACATGACCACCACAAGTGCAGGGGACAATAAATAGGAAAACAGAAATGACAAAGAACAACATGTGAAGGACTTGAAGAATTACTATTTGCAGATCTGAGATTCTGAAATGATGGGGTAGTAGCAACAAAATAATGAAGTGTTGACTACAGCAGTGAGTTGGTACTAGCAACACCAGTGGTGTCATAATGACTATAACAGTCATACTAGAGGTGTTTGTGGTGGTAGAGAGAGTGATGGAGTAATGATATGCTACCTCCGTCCCGGTGGACTTTGCCAAGTGCAAAGTAGGTGAGAAATAAGAATAGTAAAAACTTTGTGGTTGAGATTTGTGCAGAGGAGAGAGAAATGTGCAGAACCACAAATTAGTTGCTTTAATATGAAAGTGGCAAAGTTGCTTTAAAATCTTGAAGATAACTGCGTAGTTATCTTCAAGAATTTATTTGAATGTCTTCCCCATTGAATTGTTAGGTGAAATTTGGTATGAGTAAACAAGACTTAATGAATAAGATTCTCAAAAAAATTCATCAAAAAATTCCCCCAGGAACCGCCCCAAATGGCGACGGCCGGACAGAGTCTCCTAAAACAATACTAGAATAAGAATACTATTAAGTCTTTTAATATTGTACAATAAAAGGGGTTTAAGCCCTATAACTAAAATAGAAGTGGGCTGGCCCATAAGAAAAAGAATAAATAGGGGTGAGCTGTGAGTAGAAGAGGGGTAGAATTTTGGGGAATCAGGAGTGGGATTTTGGGAGTGCGAGAATACTCGAAGAGTCTCAAGTTGAGACTCTCAACATCTTCTTTCGTTATTTTTTGTAGGAAAAAGGGGCAAATAAGCCCACGTACTAACCAAAAAAGGTCAAATAAGCCCTCATATAGGAGACTCCGACCGGCTGTCGTCATTTGGGGCAGTTCCCGATGGAATTTTTGATGAAATTTTTTGAGAATCTTATTCATTAAGTCTAGTTTACTCACACCAAATTTCACCTAACAATTCAATGGGGAAGGCACTCAAATAAATTCTTGAAGATAACTGCGCAGTTATCTTCAAGAATTCATTTGAATGCCTTCCCGGTTGAAGTTTTAGCTGAAATTTGGTATGAGTAAACTAGACTTAATGAATGAGATTCTCAAAAAAAATCATCAAAAAATTCCCCCGGGAACCGCCCCAAATGGCGACGGCCGGACAGAGTCTCCTATATGAGCCTATGAGGGCTTACTTGACCTTTTTTTGTTAGTACGTGGGTTTATTTGCCCCTTTTTCCTTTTTTGTATTCCATCATTAAATCTTCATTAACATACTAGGATTATCTGCTGTGATTGTTCTGTTACCTATCATTGGTATCAAAGCAAAACGGCATTGTAGCTATGTATGGTTTTCACTCGGTCAAACATGGAACAGAGGATTGAAAGTTTGGTGTGATCAGTGGAGCGTTCAAGGAAGAGATGTGAACGGAGATGTGAGCCTTGATGGACGAGAATGTGCAGGTGTTGCTGGAGAAGATGCAGAGTCTCGAAGTCCAGGGAAGTCACAGGAGAAGACGGGGACGATCGATCACCAATCGTCGACGCCAGACTTCCGCCAACATGAGTTTGTCCGATTCCGGAGGTAGTCCTCATGAATCTCAATATGTTTCTCGCACTCCTGATAATGCGAGAATCGGCGATCGGATTTATACTCGAAGAAAGGTGGATTTACCGTTGTTCGGTGGAGACAATGCTCATGGATGGCTTATCTAGGTTGAACGCTATATTAAACTAAATCATGTATCGGAGGGTGACAAAGTATAAATAATCATGATAGCCATGGCCGGAAATATTCCATCGTTCATTTGCAATGGAGCCAAAGACTCACTATTTTTTGGCTTAGGAATATGGTGGAATAAAGCAAAATGGCTCACTAAACTGTTTACGCTTCTTTGTTATGAAACAACCGTCAGTCAATGCAATTTTTTATGCGATTTTCACCACGGGTCATCCAGAAACAGTCTCTTTGTGCTTTAGTACAGGGGTAAGGCTGCGTACATCTGACTCCCCCTTACCCCACCGTAGATGGGAGCCTTTGCGGCACTGAGGTAATGATGATGATGATGATGAGCCATGGCCGTAAAAGCTCTGAATTGGTACCAATTGTAGGATGAACAGACAGCTGACCATTCTTGGGTTAACTTCAAAGAGGCTTTGATCCGGCGTTTTCAACCTGCCTTAGTACAGAACCAATTTGGTCCTATGCTCAGTATTAGGGAAAACTGATTCAGTAATGGAGTACCGAGATCACTTTGAAATGGTTGTAGCTCCTCTCAAACTTGCTGACCAAGAGATGTTAAAAGGAGTGTTTCTCAATGGCCTTAAAGAAGAAATTAGCATGGAGCTGAAGTTGTATCAGACCAGTGGGTTAACTAAACTGATGGACAAGGTGTGGAAAGGAGAGAAAAATAAGGAAGAAGACAAAAAAGGCTGGAAGGAATAGGGAGGGAAAATGGTTAGACCCTTGAACAGGGTGGAAGCAGCAAAGGGAAGAACGCCTGTTGTGACTCCTGAGAGAACACATTCAGAGAACAAACTGGAGGAATAACCAAAACCAAATAAGACATGGGAGGGAGGCCAAAGATCGACACAAGCAGAGCTAGAAAAAAGAAGTAAAAAGGGATGGTGCTTCAAATGTGGAGACAAATGGGGTAAAGAACATGCTTGTGGAATGAAACATTATCAATTCGTCTTGATGGAAGGACCAGAAGAAGGGGCAGCCTGAACGGGATGTAGCAGATAACCCGCTGAAAGCCTGAAACCAAATGCCAGATCAGTTTCTTACTACCCACCTTGAGGACAAGGTGGTAGTTCAACGGGGGTGATGATAGAGACCTAAAACAATACTACAATAAGAATACTATTAAGTCTTTTAATATTGTACAATAAAAGGGGTTTAAGCCCTATAACTAAAATAGAAGTGGGCTGGCCCATAAGAAAAAGAATAAATAGGGGTGAGCTGTGAGTAGAAGAGGGGTAGAATTTTGGGGAATCGGGACTGGGATTTTGGGAGTGCAAGACCACTCGAAGAGTCTCAACATCTTTTTTCGTTACTTTCTGTATTCCATCATTAAATCTTCATTATTATACTAGGATTATCTACTGTGATTGGTCTGTTACCTATCATGAGTTTATGTATGTATGTATTGTGCTAATTTACAAATGAGCTTGAGAGAGGTTAGGCAAAAAAAACTCAGATTCGGGCATGTTTGGATAGTATAATATATGATTAAGTTTGCGGTTGGGTTCCACTAAGTGGGCAGGGACCTAGCTCACTATCAATCTACCACCCCTAGTGTTGACGGCTATGGCGTGGGGCAGAGATGACAGTCATCATTTATGGTGATTGTGGTGGTGGTGGTTATGGCCATGGACTCATGTCAGTTTGTTAAGGAATTATTAGAAATGTAACAGGATTTAGGAAAGAGACTTCTCATTGATTTCAGTGAACTGTACAAGTATTTATAGTCATCAAGACTTCAACAAACTAATAACAGACTCGAACCAATATAACAAAGTGCTCAATATTAATCTGCTATGTAGACTAGACTTATTACAATAGGGACTTGTATAGTATTCCTAACATTTGTCCCTCAAAGTTAGGGTGATTGATTTGGAAATTCAAACACTAAGTGTGGTTCTCAAATCAAGAAAGGAGGAGGTTGATAAAGGTTTTGTTAGGACATCAGCAAGTTGATGAAGAGCTGGAATGTGGTAGGCTGCAAACTGCTTTGGTTGAACTTTTTCCCTTACAAAGAAGAGATCAATCTCCATGTTCTTAATCCGAGAGTGAAGTACAGGATTATGAGCTAGCTAAACTATACTTAGGTTATCACAGTATACTCTGGGAGTTTGAAAAGGAACTTGAAGTTCCTTAAGCAAGAACTGAACCCATAGCAATTCAGATGTGGTGTCTGCTAGACTTCTATACTCACCTTCTGCCGAGGATCTGGCCACACGGAGCTGCTTCTTGGACCACCAAGAGATTATGTTGGGCCCAAAAAAATACAAGACCCAGATGTGGACCTTCTGTCAACAGGATCAAAAGCCCAATCAGCATCACAAAAGGCTGAAATAGGTAGATATGTAGTATTTAGAGGAATAGGCTTGATGATAATTCCATGTGTGATGGTGCCAGAGAGGTATATTAGGATGCGTTTGACAGTTTTCTAATGATCTTGTAAAGGTGTAGCCATGAATTGACACACCTTGTTAACAGCATAGCTTATTTCAGGTCTTGTTAGAGTTACATACTGCAGTATTCCAACAATAGACCTGTAGGTAGAGGGATCAGATAATGGCTCACTACCTTGATGAGTAAGCTTGCAGTTACTAACCATAGGTGTTTGGTGTTTTGACTCCTTTGGAGTCTGACATTTCAACTTGATGAAGTAGATCTCTGACATACTTAGCTTTAGATAGATGCAAGACTGTCATCTGAAAGTTTTCTGACCTCAATCTCAAGGAAAAAATAAAAATCAATGTCTCCTAAGTTTTTGAGAGAAAATGATGAGTGCAGTTTATGAATGAGTTGTTGAATGGCTGCAGAGTTATTTCCAATAACTAAAATATCATCAGCATATATAAGAATGTAGATTTGGATTTCGTTGTTTGTGATGCAGTGGTTTGGGAAGGAGAAATAGTGGAGATGGATGAAAGGTATGAAGGAATAACAGTGCTAGGGGCAGATGTTATGGATGAAGTGGTATTAGAGTTATAATGGGTAGGTGGAAAAAGACTTGAGTAGGGAAACTTAGACTCATTGAAAATGACATCTCTGGAGATGTAAACCTTTCCAGCTGAAGATAGGCACTTATAACCTTTATGTTGAGAGGAATAGCCTAGGAAAATACATTCTTCAGAATGAAAATCCATTATGTGCTTGTTATAGGGTTTGATAAAGGGGTAACATGAACAGCCAAATACTTTGAGAAAGAAATAGTCTGGTATGGACCCATAGAGTTTAAAATAGGGGCTGGACTTGGCAATAGATTTAGAGGGAGTTCTGTTTATGAGATGGGCAGATGTGGCAAAAGCAGTATACCAAAATTTAAAAGGTAAGAAAGAATGAGCAAGTAGAGAAAGACCTTTTTCCACAATAGTACGATGTTTCCTTTCCACAACACCATTTTGATGGTGTGTGTGGGGACAAATAATTCTGTGTGTGATACCTTTTTCTGTTAGAAATTGAGTGAATGATCTGAATTCACCTCCCCCGTCAGATTGAACAGATTTAATAGACACAGAAAATTGGTTGAGAACATATTGATAGAAGTTTTGAAAAGCTGTGAGGGCATCAGATTTCTTTTTAAGAAAATAGATCCAAGTGTATCTTGTGAAGGCATCAATAAATGAAATGTAATAGGAATAGCCATCAAAAGACAACATAGGAGCTTGACCCCACAGATCAGTAAATATTAATTCAAATGGAGAATGAAACTGAGTGGTAGATGTGTGAGATGGTAGCCTGTGTGCTTTCCCAAGACAACAAGCAGAACAAAACTCAACATGATTTTTATTAATAGTAGAGACATTACAATGTCTGAGTACAGACTTTAGGGCCTCAAGATGAGGATGTCTACTCCTAGTCTTAACTCTTAAGTGCCACATATTACAGTCAACTAACTGATTACATGACTGAGAATTATTAAAGTAGATAGAAAAGAAGACATGTTGGTAAACTGGGAAACATTTGAAACTGGAATTGACTGAGATGAACCAAGAGCAGGAAACATTTCAAACTGGTAAAGACCATCTTCACCAAGAGTGCCATGCAATAAGACCTTCTTAGAAACCTGTGATTTGACAAAGCATTCATGAGGATAGAATTCAAAGAAAACATTGTTGTCTTTAGCAAACTGACTAACACTCAAAAGATTTTTTGTGATAGAAGGAACATGCAGAATATAATTTAATGAAAGAAGTTGAGAAGAATGATAAGGTGAAGGAAAGGAAGAGTAACCAATAGATTGTATATCCAAACCTTGACCATTGCCCATAAAGAGTTTGTCAGTTGTAGCAAAGGGCTCACTGTGCTGAAGATTTAGAGGGTCTGCAGTCACATGATGAGTGGCTCCTGAGTCTGGAAACCAATATTGAGATGTTGGAGCAAGTCCAAGCACAGAAGAATGAGCAGTAGCTAAGGCAGCAGTAGGTGATGAGGTAGGAGGTTGCTGATTCCAGTTGAAAGTCTTTGGAGAAAAATTATTTAATCTGGGGTGAGTTGAATGTGTAGGATGTTGGTTCCATTGGGTTGAGGGATATGAGTAAGTTGTGGCTAATTGTTGGTGATGATGAAGTTGAGATGGATATGTTGATTGTGGATTAATGTGATCTGGATGATGGGAAGATGTATTATGTTGGTTCCAGGTAAAGGGAGCAGTAGAAGGGGGGTGATTATAAGTTGGAGCATTGTAAGCTGGAGCAGCATAGGAGGGATTGTAGCGATGGTAACAGTTCAGGGCATTGTGACCAGGTTTTCCACAGACTTGACGAATTACAGAGTTCCGACCTCCAGACCAGCCACCAGCCCACCACGGCCTCTAGTAAAACCTCCACGACCTCATTCTCTGTATGAATTGTTAGCATTAGGGTTGTTGAACTGAACAATATTTGCTGAAGAGTTTTCTACGGTGATTTGATGAGTTGATTTATTATTTGGAGACGGAACTGCTGCAGAGACCATATTTGCAGAGAATAATGCTTGTTGTGTACAACAACATCCAAGCCTTGTTGTGTAGATTCACGTAATTTCTTTTGACGTATCTCTTTCGCTAGCAGTAGGGATTCGAGTTCAGTAATAGTTACTGGATCCAAAATACTTCGTGAAGATACAGAGGAGACTAGAGATTCATACTCTTCAGGAAGTCCTTCGAGAATTACGTTGATATGATCTGTGGTGGTTATAGGTTCTCCGATGTTGACAAGGCTATCAACGATAGTTTGAATTCGAAGGAGATACTCTGAGATCGATCGATCACCTTTTCCAGTTGAATAAAATTCCAATTTGAGCTGCTTGGCCCTAACGACAATATTTGACTGAAAAAATTTGTGTATTTCACTCCACAGTTGATATGAGTGTTGACAGTGAATAACGCAAGTATGAACGGACTCAGCGAGAGATGAGAAGCCATGAAAATAGCATCTGATCCTGTTGTTCCCAAACAGTATAGGCTTCGTTCACAATTTTGATTCCGTCATCTTCGATAGCTACAAATTGTTCAGGAATTTCAGGTTTCTCAACAGACTTGAGAAGTTTGTGAGCACGAATAACCGATTCTACATGATGCTTCCACAGAAGAAAATTGTTAGAATCAAGCGTGATGGGAAGAGGATGAGTGAACGTCGCCGGAAACGAGATGTTTCCGGTAACTGGAGAAGAAGCAGAAGTGGAACTTGAGTTCGTCATGGGAGGAGCGAGCTAGAGCTCCGATACCATGTTAGAAATGTAATAGGATTTAGGAAAGAGACTTCTCATTGATTTCAGTGCATTGTACAAGTATTTATAATCATCAAGACTTCAACAAACTAATAACAGACTCGAACCAATATAACAAACTGCTCAATATTAATCTGCTATGTAGACTAGACTTATTACAATAGGGACTTGCACAGTATTCCTAACAGGAATCCAGAAAATGACTTATTTCATCAAAAAACGGACTAATAATTTTCTGGGTTTTTACACTCCATTTCCTTTGGTTTAACTAACTTTCCATTATCTTATATTTTTTAGTGACCATACGCAAGCAGATAAAATATCATCTTCCACCTTCCCAAAATGAGGTTACAAGTTCACACACAAAACTTGGGCCTACTTTCCCTCTAATGAGATGAGGTCTAGAGAGGCCAGCTAGAATAGTTTAAATGTTAGTATTACCCATCCTCCTTGAGAAGTTTAACTCGACGTTCCATTTCAGATGTGCTGAGTTGCTCATCATTTGGAAGAGTAGAACTTTCAGGTGCAGGGGTAGCTTTCCCAGAATCTCCACAAGAAGTGATAACTGAAGCTGTTAATGACAAAAAAATACAGCAAGAACATCTGAGCCTTAGTCCCAAAAGAGTTCGCGGTCAGCTAAGATAAATTGACATATGAAATCGGAGTTAAAAATAAAAAGAGATCAACCAAATAAATGTTCCTAACAGCAACAAAATGAATCCAAACCAAGATGACTTGCCTACAAAATCTCTGCATACATCACGGTCTGAGAAACTGTCAAACTCGAAAATATAGTTTTTACCCTGATGACAAAGGAAAATAAGATGTTATATTATATATAAAGGGGTCCACTTGCTTCAAATGATGCACTTTTTGCAAGCAGAACGTTGATGTATATACTAAAATACCACAGTGATTTTTCCTTAAAATGCATCTCATTATCTTAAGCAAGGCCTAAGATTTGACTTAGTTGTCAAAGCCAGATTTGTCTGTACTAACCTGATCCTGGGAAAGATTGAGCAAGGCCTGCTTGCTAGTGCCCTCTTTAGTGAATTTATGGCCTACAATTCAATGGAAGAAAGAAGCACATTAAGAAGGTTGTGCCAAATCAGCACATTAATTGGTCAAAAATGGAAACTTCAAGAAAACCCAGTTGAAGTGTTTAGCACTTCAAGAAAAGGGGACAAGGAGATTAAGGAATAACCGAATAACAGATATGCAAAAGACAAAAGCATAAATCTACTCACTAATGCAATCGATATCAATATACTAAAGCCATTGCAATAGTGACTCAGGCCAAGGAAATGAGTGGAAATTGCAATTCATCTATTGGAAGAACTGAAGAACTAATGAAAAGGCACCTTTAATCAGCCTAAACTCCACATTAAGCTTGTATGATGACATTGGGTCATTAGGCTTAAATATGAACCTTTCCATGGTCTGCAAAGGAGCAAAAAAAAAGAAATAATCATTAGATTACACTTGAGGAAATGCTAGTGTCGAAATTGATTACCCTGTACTACACCTCAGACTTGTCACACGCTTTTCCACATTCAACTAATTTACGTCTTAAGATTCAATGTCTTAGCCCAGAAAGAATCATAAGTACTATTCATTCATTCTGATATCCACGGCATTGTACTGTATCTGGTTTAAGCGCATTTGCATTCACTATATCAAGGTCTGCAACAAATTTAAAGGAAGTACAATATGAATACAGAGGCGGATGAAAATACCATTCTTAAAACGCCAGGGACACCAGGGTCCTTGACTGATAATTTGTACTTAGCTCGCTTAACCACCTGCTTATCCGCCATTCTTCGATAGTTGGAATGCACTACACAAATTTAAACTTGCATTGATCAGAACCAACAGAATCGAACAATCTCGGTTCTGAACTTCAAATTCAAAATAACAACAAAGACAACATTCAAGCCTTAGTCACAAAAGAATTTGGGGAACTTCAAATTCACAATAAAAAATCAAATTCTTGGAAAATGGGTGTCAGTTGAAGTTTACGGCAAAATACAATACGCACTTAAACTCACATATAGGAACTGAAAACTTTTCAGTGAAAAGTGGGTGTTAGTGGAGCGGTTGGCGGCTGAACTACTTAAGGAGTAGTGTCAGGCCCAGTCGGCCAATCCTGACACTTTAGAGACCCGGACATAGTAAAAAAAGGTCCCTTTGATTACAGAGGCATGCAACAAGATTCTTACTATAAAAGTAGAGTTCAATGCATAAAGCTAGTGCTTTATAGATTAAAAGAAAAAATTACAGGAAACAATCCCTTCGAGCATTCTTAGATGCAAAATCACCTCTGATAGTATCAAGGTCTATATTATCCCACGTCTCCTTCCAAATACAAACTTTTAAACAAACACTTGATACGTACATTAAGTATAAGTGTGTAACATAAGGGTATAGCAGTCAAATATTTTAATATTATAAGTAACAACTAACTAATTTACTAAATAATGAAGCTAATTGTAATTTGAATAAACAAATCAACAATGTAAACCTAGTGTAATTTGTGTTCATGAGTTCATTCAATTCTAAAATTCCATTTCTTTTAGATAACCAATTTCAAATCTTCCTTTTGCATTATTCCAATTCTAAAATTCTTTAAGAATTTTCTAATTTTCTTCTTTTCAGCCCTCGGCCACAAACATTCACTTTGTTCCTAGCAAAAAACAAGCTTGTTTTCTAAAAGGATATTTGGAATTGATTCTGCTTCGGCTTCTTTTTTAAAGCAGAAGCAGAATAAATTTTCTAAGGGGTGTTTGAATCATTTTTCAGTAAATTAGAGAAACAGAATCACTTCTTCACTTTTACCCAAACACTCCAACTTCTTCTTCTGCAGTTTTAAGAATCAAATCCAAACACCCCTAATTCATTGCACCATCTGCACAATTCGGCAATTCCATTATTTCAATTCTGATTCACTGAATTTGGAGCAGTGATAATATATATACTGTTCGTATATATACATGATATATAGTGGACTTCCCTATACAAAAATATGAAGAGGAATTGGGAGAAGGAGAAGAAACAAACCTGGGAAAGGAGAAGCTGCGAAAGAGAACTGTCTGGCGCAATAGAGAGGAACGTGGGGGAATAGGCGTACCGATTTTGAACTAATGCAATACAATAAGGCTTTCTCGGTGCATCTTTATCATTATTCTGGGCACTCACAATTTTCCAAGACTATTTAGTCCTACACAGTACACAGGGGCGTTGGACAGCTGCCCCACTCAACCCTAGTTTACCTCATCCCCAGCTTCTAAAAAACTGATTCCAGGAGTAAATTAGAGCATCAGAATCACTTCTGCACATTTATCCAAACACTCCAACTTCTGCTTCTGCTCCCTGAAGGAGCAGAAGCAGTTTTAAGAATCAAATCAAAACACCCCATACTAGTATATCAAATTTTATTTGTGTATATATATTATTGTCTTATATACAATATAATACGGAGTAATGTTTAAAGTCCGGAAGTAACAAAGCTGGCATACTAGCCGACTCGAAAGAGTGCTACACGATTTGTCTTTGGTTAAGGGTTTGAATCTTCTCAGCTCCAACCCTGTTGATTTATTTTTTTGCCTATTACAATTGTTTAAAATTTGTCTACTGATGGAGTATATGGCCCAGGGACCCCTGGCCCACATACTTCATCTACTACAATCAGGCCCAATAGGTCCAAACGGGCCAAGCCCAGCAAAATGGAGCTCTAAGCAGCCCACAATACGCAAAGGGGTGCCTTCGGCCCTATGGCCGAAGGCTACCAGTGACGGAATCGAGCTTAGAAACATCACAGGAGAACAAGGCTTGAAAACCAAGCCTTCGGCAACTGCAGCCCTCGGCAGGTAGGAGCACTCGGGTAGAAGAGGCATCACAGGAGAACACGCCTTGAAAACCAAGCCTTCGGCAACTGCAGCCCTCGGCAGGTAGGAGCCCTCGGTTAGAAGAGGCATCACAGGAGAACAAGGCTTGAAAACCAAGCCTTCGGCACCTGCAGCCCTCGGCAGGTAGGAGCCCTCGGTTAGAAGAGCCTTCGGCCCAGCACCCTTCAGCCAAAGGCATCCACCTCGACAGAATATCCTCTTCACATGCGCCTGGATCACCGTACCAAGTACAAACGTCACATCCAACCACCGCATTTAATGCGGCCACATGCGAGTGCCAGTGCCACCCCGGTCGAGGTGACCCCTCGACCACCAGAAAACTGACACGTGTCCTTATCTAGCATTTATTACTGCTATAAATAGCACCCCTTTCCCACATTGTAAACCACGCTTAATACATATCGAATATACACTCTCTCTCTTACTTGTTTGCTCTGACTTCTCTCTAGTTATTCTCCGCAATAACCCCTCGGATAAGCTACCCCCCGGGTACACTATCCATCATTTGGTGCTCTCGTTGAGAGGTCGAACGATCAAGTAAGAAACCCTCCCCCTTCGCCAAACACTAGCCCTCTACCAAAATGGTGAGAACAACACGTGCCAACTCCAAAAACGTAGAAGACAAGAACCTGGCCCTCGGCGACGTCAACGCCCCCGAAGCCTCTCACAAGGCTCCCGAGGGCGGTGTCATCGCTGGGCTGGAACAGGCGGCTGTCGACCTACGCCTTCAGATCCAGCAGAATGCCCCCGATGCCCGCCTCGGCATCGAGGCCAAGAAGAAAAACCGGAGCGATGACCAAGTTAGCCCTCCGGTCCTCACCATCGACGTTCATTCGGCACTCTCCGCCTTCATCCAGACGCTAACTCAGAACCCGGGTGCCTTCGGCACCCTGGCTCTGGCTCAACCCCAGGTTGGGGAGAACATCGTACTTCCCCCTCTGCCACACCCCTTCGGAAACCCCATCCCTCGGGTTAGGAATGACGAAGGGGTAGTGGCCCAAGACACGGCCTCCCAGGAAGTTCAGTCCCGGGATCGCCACAATGACAACAGAGAAATGCCCCGCACTTCCGCCCTCAACCGGCTCGGAGGGGGGCAAGACCGCCGAGGGCCCCAAGAAAGCGGAGGGTCTGTCTCGAGGGCAGACGAGGAGTGTCCCCCTCGGGACAAAGGCAAGGCACCCCTTCATGCCGACGATGCTCGCCACCAGATCAACCAGGCCCACTCGGCCCGGGTTCGTTCGCAGGGGGCGGAGACCCTCCCGAAGGACCCCCGGGACGAAATTATTGCGGCCCTCCAACGCCGACTTGATGAAATGGAGGCCGACAAAGCTCACGCCACCACCTCCACCCCTCATTCAGACCTCAAATACGAGGCCATGATGGCCAAAATGGAGGAATTACAGAAGAAGGTAGTCGAGGGCTCCGGGGAACCCATCATCCAGCTCCGGACCCGGACGCCATTCACCCCAAGGGTATTGGCGGCCCAAATCCCGGAAAAGTACCGAGGGCAACTCATCAAGCCCTATGAAGGAAAAACTGACCCCCAGGAGCACTACAACAGGTATCAAAACAGCATGATGATGATGGGGGCATCAGATGAATACTTATGTCGTTGGTTCCTTTCCACCTTGGAGGGACCAGCATACGAATGGTTCATTCGATTGCCCGAGGGCAGCATTGACTCTTGGCAAGATCTTGCCCAACGCTTCCTCACCCATTTTGCCGGAAGGAAGCGCGCGAGAAAGCACTTCTCCCAGCTCCTCTCCGTCAAGCAACAGCCTGACGAAACACTTCGGTCCTTCATTGACCGGTGGATGAAGGAGACAGACGAGGTCGAGGGCGCCGACGAGCGTACCCTCCTCGTCCTCTTCCAGGGGGTTCTCCGCAGCAGCCCCTACGCACGGAGCCTCATCACCGACCCCCCAAGATCATACCTCAGAGCACTCCAGCGGGGGAGCCTATACGCCGACGCCGACGACCTCCACTCCTTCAAGAAGAATGAGGGCCAGCCCTCGAAGAAGATAAACAACACGCCGGCCCCAAATGTGCCCTCGGCCGGAGGCCGAGACCATGGAAGCCACACCCAGCAGGGCCGTAACGAACGTCAATGGCGCCCTCGGCTGGACATGCCGAGGACTCCCCTCACGCACCCGGTGAGCACTATCCTCAACTATGCGGAAGAGCAGGACCTTTTCCCCAAGGACCCTCGGTCGGTGAGGGAGATCTACGCCATCCACCAAGGCGGCACTTATTGCCGTTACCACAAAAGCACCTCCCACAATACAGACGATTGTGTCTCGTTAAAGAAGGCTATTGAACTCTTAATTCAACGGGGTGAGCTCCACCAATTCATCAAAAATGCCCCAAGGAAAAACACCAGGGAGAACACCAATAAAGAAGAAGGGGGCATCGCAACAAAGAAACATGAAATCGGGAGGCTCAGTGACGGAGAGGAGTTCGAGGAGCCCCAGCCGAAGAAGCGCCACCTCCGCTAATCAAGTTCCTCACCTTCGGCGTTAGTCTCAGCCTTGGGCCCTCGACCTCGAGGCACATTACCATCCCCTAGGCCTAGAGCCCTCGGCCTTGAGCGGTGAATCTTAACAAAGCCGTTGTCAAACAACGCACCCCTTGTATTCCGCTTATTTCTATGAATTTAAGTAAACTACAACACAATCCAGACATCTTATCACCCCCTTCGAGGCCAAATGCCCAGGTATGGCCGATGGTTTCTAGAGACGAGGGGCCTGCAAAAGGCCCACGTTTTTGGAGCGGGACGCTCGCCGCGTCGCCGGCGCGCAACGCACGACGACAGGCCTGAAAGAATGGCTGAGGTGACGAAATCCCCAAACTTGGGGGTGAAACGGCAGTCGTCGGAGACCGCCCAAGCCTAGCCCGCGCCGTAAATAGACGACGGGACCCCCCAAGCTCAAGGGACGGTTCAGCGCCGGGGGACTAACAGACGAACCCCCGGACGGATCACTTGGACCCCCTTCCGGCCGAGGCGGGGAAGCAACCCCCTCGGCCTAAGCCTAGAAGAAGGAACACACATTAGGAGGACTAACATACGACCTCCTGGCACAATCAAGGGACGACCTAGCGCCGGGGGACTAACAGACGAACCCCCGGACGGATCACTTGGACCTCCTTTCGGCCGAGGCGGGGAATCAACCCCTCGGCCGAAGCCTAGAAGAAGGAACACACATCAGGAGGACTAACATACGACCTCCTGGCACAATCAAGGGACGGCCCAGCGCCGGGGGACTAACAGACGAACCCTCGGACGGATCACTTGGACCTCCTTTTGGCTGAGGCGGGGAATCAACCCCTCGGTCGATGCCTGAAAGAAGGAACATACACCCAGAGGACTCCTGGAACTATCAAGGAAAGGCCCTCGGCCTCAATTCGATTCCACGTCACCAATGGCCCTCGGCCTTGGCATGATTCCACGTCACCAATGGCCCTCGACCTTGGCATGATTCCACGTCACCAACGGCCCTCGGCCTCAGCGTGATCCCACATCACAACGGCCCTCGGCCTCAACATCAGACGGCCCTCGGTCTCAAAATCAACAACGGCCCTCGGCCGCAACATCAGGACGGCCCTCGACCTCAGCATGATTCCACATCACAATGGCCCTCGGCCTCAACATCAGACGGCCCTCGGCCTCAACATCAACAACGGCCCTCGGTCTCAACATCAGAACGACCCTCGGTCGCAAAATCAACAACGGCCCTCGGCCTCAACATTAGGACGGCCCTCGGCCTCAACATCACCAAAAGCCCTCAGCCTCAACGTGATTCAACATCAACAACGGCCCTCGGCCTCAGCGTGATCCCACATCACAATGGCCCTCGGCCTCAGCATCAGAACGGCCCTCGGCCTCAACATCAACAATGGCCCTCGGCCTCAACATCAGACGGCCCTCGGCCTCAACATGACTCTATGTCATAACGGTTTTTGCCTCACATGATTTCACATCATCAAAGGCCCTCGGCCTCAGCGTGATTCCACATCACAACGGCCCTCGGCCTCAACATCAGAACGGTCCTGTGCCTCAACATCAACAACGGCCCTCGACCTCAGCATCAGAACGGCCCTCGACCTCAACATCAACAACGGCCCTCGGCCTCAGCGTGAGGACATCACAATGGCCCTCGGCCTCAACATCAGACGGCCCTCGGCCTCAACATGACTCTATGTCATAACGGTTTTTGCCTCACATGATTTCACATCATCAAAGGCCCTCGGCCTCAGCGTGATTCCACATCACAACGGCCCTCGGCCTCAACATCAGAACGGTCCTGTGCC